AGGGATGGAGAAGAAGTTTTGGGCTGAAGCTGCTGCAACTGCAGTCTACCTAATCAACAGGTTTCCTAATGCATCTCTGAAGTTTAAGATTCCAGAAGAAGTTTGGTCAGGATTAAAGGTGGACAACAGTTATCTTAGACGCTTTGGATGTGTGGCATATGTACACGTTCAACAGGACAAGATGAGTCCTAGAGCTGTTAAGGGAATTTTCATGGGATACCCACTTGGTACTAAAGGTTACAGGGTATGGTTACCAGAAGATGGAAAGTGTACAATCAGCAAGAATGTAGTCTTTGATGAGGAAAAGCTGTACAACGAAAAAACAGAAGTACCTGAAGCTAAGAAGAAGAAAGTCACTTTTAGCACACAATTGATCCAAGGACCGAGCACATGTGATTCAGTTCAAAGCTCTATTGGTCAAGGTGGAGCTGACTCAGGGAACACAAGCTCTAACGGTCTAGATGGAACTGATTCAGAAGAAACAGAATCTACTGGTCAAGGTGGAGCTAATTCTGAAGGAACAGAGTCAGGAACAGAGACAAATGAAGAAACTGAGTCAGAAGAAGATGGGGAATCAAGTCCTGAACAGGAAAGTCAGGAGGAACAACATGAGTCTCTTGATGATTATATGCTGGCAAGAGACCGGGATAGAAGAGTAATAAAACCACCAACCAGGATTGATGGATCTCACTATGTGGCTTATGCACTAACTTGTGGAGAAGATCTAGAAATAGATGAGCCAAGATCAGTGGGAGAAGCTAGGAGAAGCAAATACTGGAAGAAGTGGGAACAGGCTATGATTGAAGAGATGAGGTCTCTGGAAAAGAATGAGACATGGGAAATTGTCTCTAAACCAGACAAGAAGAAGATAGTAGGGTGTAAATGGATCTTCAAGCTAAAGGAAGGAATTCCAGGAGTAGAAGAAGCAAGATACAAGGCCAGACTTGTAGCAAAGTGATTTACACAAGTTGAGGGAATTGATTACAATAAAATATTTTCTCCTGTAGTCAAACATGTTTCCATACGGATCATGTTGTCAGTTGTTGTTAATTTTGATCTGGAATTAGAACAGCTTGACGTGATGACTGCTTTCTTGCATGGTACATTGGATGAAGTCATCCACATGAATCAACCTTAAGGATTCATAGAGAAAGGAAGAGAGGACGAAGTTTGTTTACTCAAGAAATCACTCTATGGATTGAAACAATCTCCTAGACAGTGGAATCAGAAGTTTGATGAATTCATGAAGTCTCAAGGATTTCACCGAAGTGTCAATGATCCGTGTGTCTATCACAAAGGATCAACCATTGATGATAAGATATTTCTCTTACTCTATGTGGATGATATGCTAGTAGCAGCTAAAGACTTGGAAAAGATTAAGGTTTTAAAGAAGAGTCTGAATAAGGTGTTTGAGATGATGGATCTAGGACCAGCTACTAGAATCCTTGGAATGGACATCATCAGGGACATGAAGAAAGGGGTTCTGAAGCTATCACAAGGAAGATATCTTAAACAAGTTTTAAGAACATTCAATATGGATGATTGTAAGGCGGTTGTGTAACCTATTAACTCAGCAATGAAGCTCCGAAGCTTAACGCAAGAAGAGTTAATCAGAGAAGAACCACTAATGAGCTCAATACCCTATGCAAGTGAAGTAGGGAGCCTGATGTGTGCTATGATCGGTTCAAGACCTGATCTAGCTTATGTTATCTACTTGGTCAGCAGATTCATGTCAAAACCAGGAAGAGATCACTGGGCTGCAGTTAAGTGGATCCTGAGGTATCTAAAGGGAGCTACAGAAGTGTGCCTTACATTCACAAGATCAGATCACATGAAGATTGAAGGGTTTTGTGATTCAGACTATGCTACTGATCGAGACAGAAGTAGATCAGTTTCAGGTTATGTTTTTTAGGTTGGTGGAAACACAGTGAGTTGGAGATCCAGCCTTCAGCATGTGGTAGCCCTTTCAACCATAGAGGCTGAATACATGGCTCTCACTGAAGCAGCTAAGGAGGGTATTTGGTTACAGAAGATTTGCAGTGAATTAGGATTTAATTCAGAGAGTTTTAAGCTTAATTGTGACTCACAAAGTGCAATTTGTCTAGCTAAGAACTCAGTGCATCATGACAGAACAAAGCACATTGCTACCAAGGTTCACTTTATCCGGGACTTAGTGAACGATGGTTCAGTCAACATAGCCAAGATTCACACTACTCTAAATCCAGCTGATATGTTAACAAAAGGATTACCTGGAAATGCGTTCGAGAAGTGCCTCGTAACGCTCAAAGTCATCACCTCATTTGAGCAAGGCGTACTCCGAGATGGTTCTGTTGATTGGTCATCTCGCAGGAAAGGTCGAGAAGCAATTGTAAGTGACGACATTGCAGTCTCAGAGGAAACCAACAAAGGAAGATTGAAGATGGTAAAGTCATAAATCGAGGAAAGTGTATCAAGGGTCTTACTTGGGACATGCAGGCAAGGCATCGAACCCTTGCGTTCTTCTTCACCTGAAAAGTCAAGAAAGGACAGGATAAGTTCGGGTTTACTCAAGGACACAGAGAGAAACAGAGAAGCTTCAAGACAGAGACTGCTTTTGTTTTTTCAGGTACCTATGCCTTGAGTGACGGCGGCATTACTCACGACGGCTTCAAATATTTCAGGCGGAAAGAAGTGAGAACTGCCGTGAACATCCATTGAAGAGGGCAAGAAGTTACGAGCTGAATCGGGAAAGATGAAGCTTGACCACGAGACAAAGGTGGAGATTTGTGGATAAGTTGTCATCGGGTCAGGGAACCGGTTAAGGTCATGAACCGGGTTGTTGCAAACCAAGCTGGGCCAAAGTTGGGCCATAAGGAAGATCCAAAAGGAAGAAGCCCATGAAGATGTTTTGAGGAAGTTTCTTTTACTTGGCAAACAAGTAAGTCAATTCCAAAGAAGATTAGGAGTCCAAATCTGACTTGGAGTTAGGCGGTTTACAAGGCCTATATAAAGAGAGCCATCGACACAGCTTTTAATTGCCAATTCAAAATAAATCACGAGCATTGCTTCAGTCATCAATATTCAAGAATGCTTCCAAATCCCATAAAATATCAAAACATAACAAGATCAAACGAAATCAAAATTATCAAATTTGGTTTCATTTTCAATTAGCGTTTCCAAATCTGAAATCAAATCGGGTACTACAAAATCTAAATCATTCACTCATAAACAAACAAAAACAATCGTATTAGGGTTCGTGTTTTGATTTTTTGGAGGTGAAAAATACAAAACGGCTTTGTTTTATACATGACAGTTAAGTGAGAAAAAAAAAATCCGATGGGTACCCGTAATCTGATAGGGTAAACCCGTGTAAAACTCTAACGTTGCGGGTATAAACTCATATTTATTTTAACTAGAAAAGCAGGTTTTGAGCTCAGTTTTAAACATGGGTTTCGGGTACCCACTGGGTTTTTACCCATTTTTAACATCCCTACCACTCGTATGTCCCGTCATTAGCGGACATAATCTATTGACTCTAGCATCGTTAAGCCCATATGAAATTTCTACTTACACTAATTATACATTTATAGTTAATGATCATATTATTATTTTTCATTTTTTTGGGCTCTTGTTTCATAGTAAAACTATATATTTTTAGTGTCGTTTGTCTTTTGTTTAGTTTCATTTTGAGTCGTTTGTCCTGTCGAAGTCTCTCTTTTGTGTCTTTTATGTTTCGTTTTGAATCTTGTAGAGGTTTTAGGTACTTATGGTAGGATTAGATGGCTTTGAGCTTGTTCAGGTCATAAACTGGCGAAAAGAGCTACAGCGAGGAGCAAGACAAGTTAGACCGATCGGTCCTCCACTGGATCGATCGATCCGAAGCTGACATTCGTGACCAGAGACGGTTAGACTGATCAGTCCTCCCCTGGACCGATCAGTCCAATGCTTGGACGGCAGAACAAAGCCAGTTAGACCGATCGGTCTCCACATGGACCTATTAATTGATCCGAAGCTGGAACTACGAGGCAAAGTTGGTCGGACCGATCGGTCTGGTTTTATGACGCTCCAAATTATTTTATTTTATTTTTCAGTTTAATATTTTTCTATAATTGGGGATAAAAACTCCAATAGACCTAATTACTTTTGAACGTTTTCTTTTCTGCAACTTTCTAAGAGTTTTTATGTAAGTAACTACTCTGGATTGGAGATTCATCTTCTTTGACAATTCGGAGAAGATTTCTAAACCTTATTTAGTTTCTATTCTATTGAATCATGTTTTCTTTCATATTTATTAACTTTGTCTATTTCTCTATGTGTGAGTAGTTTCTCAATTGGGTTGTAGGATTCTTAGTAGAAGAGTCAATGAATTAGTGAATTGTTTGTCATAGGGAATTATCTCCATCATTAGGTTCTTCGATTTACATGTTCTTAATGCTAGAATAAGATAGGTTTTAAAACATAAGTTTATGCATCAAAAGTATTTGATAGAATGTTTGAACGAATGTTAATTGAGCAATATGTTTCTAGCCAACGAGAGTTGATATAAGAACGCATTGTAAACCAAATGAAAATGTTCGATAGTGTGCGTATTTGACTAGGAAACTACAAATGAGAGTTTAGTAGTCAAGTAGTCAAATTTAGTGATGAATTTCTTGAGAGAGAGTACTCAAAACGTAACTAAAGAGTCGTTAAACCCATAATTACGACGGATTGACGACTAAAACACGTTGTCGCTGAACACTGCGTCGCTAAAATTAATGGTAGCCTAACAATCGCTATTTAGTGACGGATTAGCGACAACTGCTTGTCGTCACTAGTCGGTCGCCTAACAGTCGCTACTTTAGTGACTGTTATGCTACAAAAAGGTCACTAAATGGCGACTGTTTTGGCGACTATTGGGACTGAGGTAGCTACGAACAGGCCACTACAAGGCGACTGTTTTGTGAATGTTTTGGTGATTGAATTGCTATCACTTTGCGATTGATTAGAGGTTTATTTATCGTTTTGGCCTGCTATTTTCGATTCCAATTACGAATTTATAATCAAAACCAAACATAAAAAAAGAACCTTTGAATTAAAACAGAAAACATAATAAACATACAATATTACTTGTTCAATCCAAACAAAACATAATAAATATACAAAGATTACTTGTTCAAGTACTTGTACCAACATACCAAACCAAATATCAAGTTCAAGTTCTAAGTTAAGAGGAGAGAAATCTAAGGGACAATAGTAGCAGGAGTAGTACCATCAGGATTAGCAGCAGGAGTAGAAGCTTGGACCTCTGAATGATCATCTGCAGGAGTTGATTGAGACTTGAGAAAGGCCAGAAAATTAGGGTCACTTTCACTCAAGTACTTCTTCACCATCGTCAAGTGCTTGATCTCAGCTGCTTGTGAAGCTGCGACCCACAATGCCTCTGCTTCACGTTCTGCTTGTAGAGCTGCTTGTTCCTCTATCTTGCGGTTAGCATCCTCAAGCTGCGATAGCAGGGTTGTGAAAGAAAAACTGCATCCTGGGTTCTTACGCTTCTTGTTGATGTAAACTCCTAAGCTTCTAACTCCAAAGTATTCCCCTCTATCATTTGTGACAGTTGACTGCATAACAAAAGTAAAAACATTAGTCCTTAACAGGTGATCAAAGCAATAATATGACAAAAATAGACTGCATAACAAAAGACAGAGAATTACCTGAAGGAAGATCTCATCATCCTCCTCTTGAGATAGCTCAGACCGACACAAAGTACCATCAGATAGTTCATCATTCTCATGAAGGGCAGCCAACTTAGTTGCCTTGTTTTTGAGATATGCCTCATGGATTTCCTGCGCCTTCCTATCCACAAAAGTCCCATCCTTTTTGGTATGAGTCATGATGAAAAGTTCACCAATAGTAGGAGGTCTTCCCAATTCAACTTCCTGAAATATAGTGAATAGGTCAGAATATAACTAAACAAAACCAAAACTAAAACTTTGATGTAACTTACCATCTCTTACTCTACTTGTAAGAAAGACTTTGGACCAGAAACATGCTTGTGAGGACCAAGACCATTACGGTCAGACATCCTAGCTGCTGATGTGGTTGAACTCTTGGCTATTGCTTCTTCAGTGTCCCAATACTGACACATCTCTTTCCACATAGTTTTCTCAATCCAATACGGCTTCTCTCTTTTTGTCGCTGCCTTACTAACCATGTCTTTTGTACACAGTTGAATGATCTTATAAAATTTAGCTTCAACCACACCTGTAAGTGAGGGATGCCAGGTGTGTTGTTTCTACAAAACAAGAGGAGAGTGAAGCAGACGTTAGTTATACAAAAAACAAAACAGAAGTATAAAAATACAGTAGTAGAAGAGGGATAGAAGTTTACCGCGAATTCAATGAAGTATCTTTCTCTTCTTCCAGTTGGCACACATCTCCAACTGTAGTATGGTCCATCAAACTTGTTTGTAAAACAGTTGGTGATCTTCCGGGTCAGCTTACCATTATCCTTACCAAACCTACAATCACATATAACAGTTAGCTATGAATTCATGTAGATACCAAGCAGACCTAATCTATAAGTAGACCTAACAGAGAATTACCTAATCTATATACTAACAAAGTAGACCTAACAGACCTAAACATACCATATACTAATCTATATACTAACAAAGCAGACCTAACAGACCTAAACATACCATACAAGTAAGAAAACTGATGTGAGTCAAATTAGACTTAAGACTACTCTCTCAAATAAGAGATCAATTGCAGTACTTTAGGGTCGAAATCCACAAAGCTCTCGTGTTCACACAATAGACTAATAGGTTTTGAATTAAGCTAAACAGAAAAGGTTGTAAAAATAAAGCAAGACAAGTAATTAAAATCGAAGTTAATTCAGATGAGGGAAACGTCAGGTATAGGGAAATTCTCATGAAATAAATAAATATCAGATCTAGCAAATTAATTAGGATTATTTAACGAACCGTTCTAGAACTCAAATCACTAATGTATAGCCAACCACCTCTCGAATGTATTGACTAACTAAACCTAATATCAGGAAGTTCTACCTCTCGAATGTAAACTCCTAGAATTAGACTAGCATTAATAACAGGTTTGATATGTTCACAGATATTCCTAGACCACCTTTCGAATGTATCTAGTAATTTCTGCCCACCTAAGATAGTTCCAGTAATAGATGACCTCTCGAATCTACCTATTATCCTATGATCAAATTCTAGGTGATCAAGCTAGTATTAGCATTAAGAATAATCAAAAGTGAAGAACTCTGTAGATTTTATCTGAACAGGTTATCGATCTACTAATTCATCTAAATCCGTAATAAGAATCCCTAAACCTAACAGACAAACTACTCAGACATGGAGATTGAAACAAACAACATGTTTATAAATATAAAGCATAAAGAGATTCAATAAAAGAGATGAGTTTAGAAAGATCTTCTCTGGAGGAGGTATCTCCAATTATCTCCCAAAGGGTTCAAGCTCCCAAGAACAAAGTAAAACAAAGCTTAAAGAGATCTCTAAAAAACCCTAAAAATCTATTTATATGTTCTTAAAAACGTGTAGAAACTTCTTTGAAAATAGGAAAAAGTTCTGAGACGATTCTACAAATCTTCAAAACTTCAAAGAGACTCGAAATTGAATGCAATCATATATTGGTGTCGCCCGACACCATGGGTGGTGTCGATCGACACTTGCACGAATTTTAGTCTCCGGATTGCTCTTGTAGCACAACTTCTCGGTTTTGCTCCAGAATGATCCATAATCTCCAAATTAGTCCCGAACGTGCACAAACCTGAAAATGACTAGAAAAGACTCTAGAAATAACAAAAAAGACTCTAAAAACAATGCATATATCATGGCTAAAAACGGTGTAATCCACGATAGATCACATACCTTACAAGCTGACATAAACATACCATGTAAGCATCTACCAAACAAACTAATCTATATACTAACTAACAAAGCTAACAAGTATTTAAAACAGACTAATCTATATACTAACTAAGCAGAGAGTGAGAGAGAGTGTGAAACCTACCAAGTCGTTCCAGGCTCTAATGTCGGAGAGATGACAGTGGTATAGAGCTCACGGCCTGGCATGGAAAGCATGTCATTTAAACTAGCAAGCACATCTTTCGGGAGAGTTGAATCCCTCAAACCTTCTTCCTCCGATTCAGCTTCATCTTTAGCTTCTACATCTTCTTCATCCTATACGTTTTGAGCTTGAGAACTGTGACCAGACATAGAGGCTCTTCGTACCTGAAGAGGTGGTCATTATTGATCAACGGCTGGAGAATGAACCGGCGCTGGAGACTGAACTGTGCGAGGAGATCCAGAGGCTAACGATGAACATAGGAGATAGACCCTCTAACTTGAATCGATCCAGATGCTCGAAACGGAGTCGTTCCAGATCCTCAAAGAGATCCAAAGCCTCGAGGAGATCCAGATCCTTTGCCGGACTGGAAAAGCTGCTGAGGAGGTGGATAATCTCTCAGACTTAGTCCCTGTGAAGGCTGGCGAATCGGATTTTGCTCAGTCTCTAGAATTGGATCATGAGGGTTCGCCGGCGTGAAGTCATACTGCGAGGGAAGGCTTCTAGGTCTTCGACTCGACAAACCGGAAGATGTGGGTCGACTTGGAACAGTGGGTCACTTCGCTGGAGACTTAGGTCCCCTTCCTCTTCCTCTTCCTCTGCCTTTTCCACCGCGAACACGAGGAGCCATCAGAGAGATTGATGAAGATTGATGAAAATTGGGAGAAAAGAAGGAGAATCGGAGAGGAACAAAAGAGAATCAGAGAGATTGCGAGAGATTGAGAGATTGAGAGAGAATCGGAGAGACTGAGAGGGATTAAGGTTTGTAGGATGAAAAATTGAGAATAAATGGCTTGATTTGATGAAGGATTGAGAGAGAAATCGAGGGTTAGGGTTAGGGTTCGTCGGGAGAGAAATCGATTTGGGGAATAGGGTTAGAGAAAAGACGGAATTAAGTTTTCTCGGGTTAAAATAGGGTATATATAGCTGGGCCAACGGGAAAATGTTAATGGATCGAGCCCAATTAAAATGCCCAATAAGAAAATATAGTCGCTAAAACGTAGCTAATCAGTAGCCCGATTTAGTGACTAAATAATCAGAAGCTAATTGGTCGCCTAATTTGGCGACTAATTAAAAACTATTTTTATCAGTCTCAAATTACAGACGGATTAGCGACTATTGTTGTTTAGACAACATTCAGTCGCCAAAATGTCGCAATTCAGTGCTCAAATTTAGCGCCTAATTTATCAGTCGCTAATCACGTGTTCTTTTGTAGTTAGTCTAAACTTGTGTTCATGTTTGAGAACAGTTCTTCATATCCGAATTCTCTTTTACATGTATTCATAAGTCATTTTCTTTGAATTATCCTATAGCCCAATGTCTTTAATTTGTAAGTTTAATCGTTAATTGATTTTGACAAATCTGAAAACCAAACAAATACTCTTTCCGTTTTAGTTAAGAACGAATCTCGAAAATCTTTAGTGTATATCATTGGTTCGTGTGGATCGATCTCGTATATACTACATTTCGGTTAAGTGTATTGAATAATTATTCGAACAATCAATTATATATAGATGCCGACAGCAATACATATGGTTTGTTGGACTTTAAATATATGGAGTTTTATTTATTAGGAGCGTGAGGAACGTTGAAGTTATTTAAATGGTAAATGCGCAAACTCTTGGTTATCTTTGACAATTATATATCCTTTGCAATCCCAAGAAAGATACATTCAATTTTTGAAAGTAAAGATACAACAAAACAATGTCGGGACTAAGGCAAGTGTTTCATCTCTTACAACTTCATTATGCATTCATTCATACGTTGATTAATTTATTTACTTGTCTATTATATATATACAGAAGATTGGATGGCAAGATCGTAATTATAACAGGCGGTGCTAGCGGGATTGGAGCGGAAGCAGCTAGGTTGTTCACGGACCATGGAGCCAAAGTGGTCATCGTTGACATACAAGAAGATCTTGGTCAAAACCTTGCCGTTTCGATAGGTCTAGACAAAGCAAGTTTTTACCGTTGTAATGTAACCGAGGAGACGGAAGTTGAGAATGCCGTTAAGTTTACCGTTGAAAAACACGGAAAGCTTGACGTTCTGTTTAGTAACGCAGGGGTCATGGAACCACATGGAAGCATTCTTGATTTGGATCTTGAGGCGTTTGATCGAACGATGGCGGTCAACGTTCGCGGTGCGGCTGCGTTTATAAAACATGCGGCGCGTTCGATGGTGGCTAGTGGGACTCGTGGCTCAATTGTTTGTACAACGAGTATTGCGGCGGAGATAGGTGGTCCGGGACCTCACAGTTACACAGCGTCTAAGAACGCGCTTCTCGGGTTGATTCGATCAGCGTGTGGTGGGTTAGGGAAGTACGGGATTAGAGTCAACGGTGTTGCACCATATGGGGTTGCGACGGGGTTGACTAGCTACAATGAGGAAACGGTGAAGATGGTTGAAGACTATTGTGAAGCCACGGGGAATCTCAAAGGTGTGGTGCTTAAAGCTCGCCACATCGCAGAAGCAGCTTTGTTTTTGGCTTCTGATGATTCGGTTTATATTAGCGGTCAGAATCTGGCGGTCGATGGCGGTTTTAGCGTCGTTAAGCTCACGTAAAATACAAAAAGGATGGCATAAACTCTCTTTCATTTTAATTCTTGAATAAAATCGAATTATTAAGTAATTCGATAGTTGTTGTGGTTGTATGTTATGGCCTCTTCTTGGGCCTTTTACCTTGAGTTTAATAGTTCTTTTTCTTTTAGCTTCTCTGTTCTATCTCGTTGTACTTTTGATTGTGTTTAACTGTGTTGTATGACAAGTCACCAATATTGCATATACAGAAATGATTGTAAACACACGTCATCTTTTTTTTTTCTTTTTCTTTTCTTTCTATTTTTGTTAGCAACATACTCAACTTCACGTCTTAATATAGTTACGATATTCTACAACTTTGAAACCTAACAAATTGTGTAATCACAAAAAGTTTAAATATAAATGGACGTGTTCGTCTTGCTATCAACATTATTTCCATAGTCAGCATCAACTAAACCATGTCATCCTATCTTAGACTTTGTGTGAAACATAGTTTTGAACTCGAATTGGTCTTAAAAACCTAAAAATCCACTTAACATCCTCGTAAGTTATGTGTTTCTTGATAAGGAACAAATAGAAAATGGAGAAATAAAGGAAAGCAATTAATGAACGCTTCAATAAGCTTCTATCAAACAAAGCTAGTCGATAAGGTGATGTACTGAGAGAGCCTAAAAACCTTATTTAGACGTACACGACTACTTCAACCACATGATCTATTTCTAATGTCATGATACATTGGGCTTATGTCATGATTTACCAGATACTATCATAACGACCTTATCCTTTCTGATTTGTTTTTAAAATGCTTGATCACGCAAAAGAGTTTTAGTATATAACTCAAGCATTAATAAACCCGTTTTAAATTGAATACAGTATACATTTTGTATGGTATCAATGCTCTTTCCGCGTAACAAATTTCTCCGGTGAAGCGTGCGTAACAAACTTTTCTGGTCACTTTTTCTGACCGATTTTGTCTTCTCCGATTGATCTCTTCTTCGTTTTCTTCTTCATTCTATGCTTATCAAGCTTCGATTCCTATCAATGGCGAAGAAAGGTGCCAAAACTAGGGCTCCAGCTTCTTCACCCGATTTTGTTTCTAAGACTGCTTCTAGAAAAGCTTAGTCTCTGCTTCAAGATGATGTTATAGGCCGGTGCGACTGTCAATTGAAGAAGCTCCAGTACTTCTTACACGGCTCGTGACCTAGCTGGGAAAATCTCCTCTGGTGATAAATCCTTCGATAGCTCTTACAGTCCGTTCTTCTTACATGCAGTGGATCATCCAGGTTTAACTCTTGTTTCGCATAACCTATATGGATCTAATTACAACAGCTGGTGTGTTGCAATGACTATCGCTTTAGAATCTAAGAATAAGTTTCTATATTACAAGAAAACTTGTGTTTTGTGACCCCAAAAATTGTCATAAATGAGTCGCAAAACAGCTCTTTGCGACTATTTCCAGACTACCAAAAATGGTCGCGTATGCCAAAAGTAGTTGCAAATGTGTCGTCACTAATTGAATTTGATCACAAACGGGTCGCAATTACGCAACGCTTTCGTGACTACCTTATGTAGTCGTATATAAGCGATTGAACTGAGGCATGATAAATCTGCTAACATTTCTAAATCTACCAGTACACCATTATAAATCAGTCACATAAATCTATTGCTAGATAAATCTGTCACATAAATCTATTGTTAGATAAATCTATTGCTAGATTCATAAAATTTGTTATAGTAATTCCAAAGAATTGTATATATCCTCCCATATAAATTTGCTCTCAGTTTGTATGTTTTACTGACCATTTTGCATATTCTTTGATTGTTTAACACACTAAAAACTTGTCAATTTCCTGAACTAGTAAAGATGAAAAATGTGTCTGGATTTTTTTTTAAAAAATTATTAATATTCCAAACTGCGTTAATACAGAGCAAAGAAACAACAAAACAAAGAGTTTTAGTATATAATGATTCAACAACGAGACAAAGAGTTTTAGTATATAACTTAAGACCCACTCTTTTCGCAAGCTGTATGTTTATTATTGATTTTTTTACATGGAAAAAAAACAAGAAAAGGAAAGTGATGTAACAGTGGTGATGAGTTTCGCAATCTGAGTCGTCATCGGAGGAGCAAGCGCAGAGCCTGTGTGTAATATGTGAGTGCCCAAAGACTGAAAATGTTTCTATATGTTGGATAATGTAGCAGCACATTCATCTTGTAAACTCCTCTTAGCTCCTACAAAATATAGTATATTAATGACCAATTATATTATCATGAAACTGAATGTCCTGAACAAAACTAGGATAACAAGAATCACACCTGTTGTGGAAAATCACCGTTATCCATTTGCGAATTAATTAAAACTTTCGCAGCACGATGAACTGGTAACGGGTCTCTCTCCATCTGACCACTCATTATTAGAACCATCATTGCTTGTCCCGTATTTACCACATTGGTCTTGTTCCCTTCCAAAGGAATATATTTCTTGTTGGGACAAGAGAGAAAACTTTCTCCCCAACCGCCTTCAACATTTTGTATCTTAAGAAGGAACTGAACCGCTCTACGGATCGGCTCAGAGCTATGGTAAGTCTTTCCCGCAGCCACTAAACCTCGGACAGCAAAGAATGTCGCATAGATGAAGCACACTCCCCAATTTCCATACCATGAACCATCCGCCGTTTGCAAACTTTCTATGTATTTTACTGCCTTTGCTATAAATGTTTCTATATCTTTTGTTCTGTGCCCGGGAAACTGTTTCATGAAGCGAGTCAACACTACTACTGCTGACCCCGTGCATTCTAGATACTCATGCTCGAGTATTGTGTCTTCCATAAACTCTATGGGGCTAAGCCACTGCGTTTGAATTTGAAATTATTTTTTCATTTATCTCCAAAGATAATGAAACTTGAAACAAATAAATAATAACTACCTCTAGCCATTTTTTCCCACTCGCTCTCTCCCATACCGCTATACCTCCATTTTTGCTCTGTCATTAAGAGAATTTTATGTCCTTTTTGGTTAAATGAGAATTGTAAGTTACTAACCAGCTTGTGGTGTTTTAAATCAATTAACAAAAATTGAATTACCTGCAAATAGAGAATCATATTGACAGCATCATAAAGCCTCTCCACGTCCATTTTCTCACCAATGAAAATAGACGGCATGCTCTCAAAGATCAGGCAGCACTGACCACACACGCGAATTAGTAATCATATATATATATATATATATATTTTGAATGACTAAAAGATTTTGGGCCTAATTCGGTATATCCCCTCATGCCAGGGACTAGACCATTTTATATATTGGGATTGCAAGATAGAGAAACACACACCTCTAAACTCTCAGAAGTACAATCTGAAGCTGGCCATCCTTGATCTTTGTCCGAAAAACCCCATGCTCCTTTGGATATGTCTCTGAACATTTTGATATAGTCACCAGGAGGATTGTCTATAAGCTGAGATTTCCTCAAGAAAGAGTATCCTTTTATGAGCGTTGATCTTATCTCATCATCAATATCAGCGGCTAACATGACTTGTAGCAACAAGGCTGTATCCCATATTTGGCTACCAAAACTCTACATATGGAAATAATTTCATGTTATCTCGATAAAATTATTTAGAGTTTAAATTAAGAAATTCACTTAGACTTGACTTGTAGTCTAGTGAATTCGCATTAGTGCCAAAAAAAAAGAAGAACTAACCTGGATTTTTAGGCCGTCCTCCGAAATCCATATATAACCAGAGACACGAGCAAGATGTTTTTTAAAATAATCACTCTCGGGATCTTCAGCCCAACAAGCAAGCATATGAAACACCTAATAATTATTAAAAAAAAAAAAACATATATAGCTAAGTAACATTTTTGGTTTCTCTTTACAACATTTTTGGTTTCTTTGTTTTCTTTACTTCTATTTTTGAGTCTAACAACGTTTACCTTTGGCACACCTCCACCGGTAATGTATTGGGAGGCTTCATCATAGTAATGGATAAGTTCCATTGCCCTTCGGATAGCTCTTTCTCTTATGAGCTTCTTGAAAGGCCAACGATTTAAGATATTCTCGGAGAACATGTGAATACTTTTCCAAAACAAGTCTTGTACAAATGTTTGTGGATGGTATAGATCTTCCTGCATCATCATGACATTTTTCTTTTGGTACCATTTAATCTTGATTGTTTTATATATATGACATAAAATTTTACCTGTGCGCATCGATTCCGAGCTTGACTCCAAACAATTTCAGCATAAGCCTGAGGATAAAGCTCTTCTCGAAGCTGTATAATGAGAGGTGTTGGAGTAGCTACAAATTTTTTACCATACAAATAGGACAGTGCCATGAAAGTATCACGAAAATAAATCCAAATAGTGCCTGCACGCGTATAGGAAAATAATTAAGGAGCTAATTAAACGAAATTATATTGTTTCATCCAATGTTAGGACACTCCAACGTTCAAATAATAATATACTTAAAAATTTTTCTTAAAAAGTTCATAGCCACAGCCATCAAAAATATAAGAGTATTCAAATCCAAACCTCCATTAATAGGAAAATAAGAAGGAAATAACCAGAACTCTGGCGGTATGGGTTTGCAACCAGACCATTCATACACTCCAAGAACCTAATAATTTGCAATTAAAAAAATCAATTAGGGCCAATACTAGCAAATTAAGATGGACAATCAAGAGAGAATAACTTTAGCTGATGATTATATGACATACCGAAAGGCAAGCTTTTCCAAACAATGGTGTATAGGTAGCACCACCGTGATCAATGATCCATTTACGAGCCCTTGCACAAGCACTTATTTTACCATCATGATCGGGGTCAACTCCGAAAATTCGTAGGCAGATGTAGTTGATGACCGTGCAGAACATTGAACTATGGCTTTCGACGTCTAGTCCCCACCCACCATCGTCATTCTTGATGATAGGATTTTTATCCAATTTGGAAAAGAATTATATAAAAAATATTCAAGTCATTTGGCAAAAACTATGGTGAATATCAAGTTTGAATGTTTGTAGTTATTTTTGTAAGGGGAAATGTTTAATGAAAACTTAAAGAGAAATTTTATTGAGTCAAGTACGGTACCTGATGGTTGTACATATAACGCAACATCTCTTTGCGATGCTCTTGAGAGAAGATTGTATCTAGATGGCCAGTGATATACAAACATATGACCTGATAATGTTTTGCACCGTTGGTATATTCTTGTTTTGTTTTTATTTAATTTTAAATATAATAATTTTAATAAAGTATGCGGCTTACAAAGGGAGCGTTAAAGAACATGCAACCAGAGTTTTCAGCTGGCCAATGTCCATCATCACACTGCAACGCTACCATATAGTGTATACCTCTTCTCAGTGCCGTATTAGCTTCTTCGTATGTTATTTTCTCGGCATCTTCTATTTTCACCCGCGGAATATTTTGTTCGAACTTTTTCTCCCTTAGAAACTTATTAATCAAAAAAAATACATTAAAGTTATGTAGTATAGCTAGACCAGTTTAAGATCGTGTGTTCCGCAGTTAAATTTTTTTACCTGCATACGCCACAACAGATCGGCACTAGCTTTGTATTGTGACCTATTGTTGGAGAAATTCCGTCGAGCCTGCTCAACCTCAAAGAGTTCTTCCGGAGAGCCTGCATGGGTATCAAACTCCCATATCTGCCTTCCAAGGTAGTTGTTGGTGGTGCGCAAGTGAGAATCATCTCCTGTCTTAGCTCCGATCCTCAGCTTCCACATTTTGTATCAATTCTGCTAGACAGAACAAGTCAATATTTGTCTTAAGATTTGTTTTTTCTTTAACTTAAAACACAATAATAAAAAAAAAAAATCAAACTCTAGATATCGACACTGATGGATTGGACTAAGACCACCTCCAATGGAGGGTCTTATGCAAGTCTTAACTTAGGATCTTAAGTCAAAAATCAAAATAATTAAATCAAAAATCAAGAAATGAGTAAGAACCAAGTCTTAATTAGGATTTATAAGAGAAGCTAGGACTCCGATCCCTAAGGTGTCAGCTAGTGATTGGATGTGGGAAAGTAAGACCAAACAAAAAAAAACAATTCAATATCTTGAAGATGAAGATTGCATTTGAATCTATGCATGTTTTGCATTTGAAAACACTTTAAATAAGATCAAATATATGATAACACATGAATATCTCTTTTGCATTTTACAAATCAAATAATGAGATAACACATGAATCTCTCTTTGTCCTATTTACCACATGATAACACATAGTAACACATGAATCTCTCTTTGTCCTATTTACCACATGATAACACATTGTAACACAATCTCTCTATTTTCAAAAACCAAACCAAATTTCAAAAACAAAAAAATATTAGGAACTCCTCATGGGTATCTTACCATTGGACAACAAATTTGTTAAGACTTCCTCATGTTGTCTTAACTTTTAAATCTCCAAATTTTAAAACTAAAAAATTGGTAAGATATCCCAAAAATTCTTACCATTGGGATTATCGTGACCTTTACGTGGGCAGTGTCTGTGATTATCAGATTATGGAGGAATAAGTAACACACATATGTATCCATTTATATACTAAAGATTGCTCTAAATACATGCACAGCCGTCCAGTGGCAGTTACATTTTAAAAGTAGAAATCTAAAAAGTTGAAATCTAAAAAGACACTATTTTAAAAAAATAAATATACTTTTTAAAAGTTGAAATCTAAAAAGTAAAAAGACACCAATTTTTTTTTTAAATCACTTCTAAATATACTTAGGTATATATATATATATTAGATATTCAAAATATATCTTTTTTATTTGTTAACTAGAAAAAGGCACAATTACAAGTCACAATACTATTCAATTAATATTGTTATACAAAATTTTACATAAAATTGTTAATCATAAAAAATATGAATTCATAATCAAATTTTAAGTTGTTTATTTAATATGTGTGAAAACATTAAAATTTGAATTTTTTAGGAACAAAGCTATATATATATATATATATATTATGATTTTGTTATCCAATATACAGATTTAACCATGTATAATCCGATTTAGTGAAATGTCAGGTGAGAGAGCGTTTACCTAATAAGTCTTGCCAGCATCCCAAACCCTCGGTAAGTGGGTTATCCCCTGGTATACTACAGATTGATGAAGCATTTTAAGATGACATTTCTTGATTAACAAATTAATCAATGTTGGGTGGAAAATTAACTACATATGGACTTGTTTCTCAACTACAGTTTTAGCCGAAAAGGCTTCTCCCATCTATACGACAATCATTTGTTCTTTTTTCAAAGAAGGTATTCTAATCAATAATAAAACCTACACCGAAATCCGGATATTCGATGTTCAATCTAGGAAATAGAAAAACATCTTCCAATTTTGTATGCACCACTCAAATCTTGATACTTAGATATAGATGGAATTATCCGAAATATGCATATGAAGCATATACATTATCATGAAGTTAGATTTAAGCTTATTTTATTTAGATTGAGATTTAAGATCTAGGTCTTAGTTGGTTGGACAATGAGAGATGTTGATATGGACGCCATTGGGGAAAGAAGGCAGTGGAGTACGAGTGACTTCGCAGTCTTGGACCATCGAAAAATCGTAGTTGGTGACAAGATTGTGAATAAATATTGCAATCTGAAGCCTTGCAAACTCTGCACCAATACATGATCTCACTCCACCTCCAAACACCATGAACGTCTTAGAACCATTAAGCAGCTCTTTGCCCTGTTTTACATTTTTTCATCAAAACATTTCAATTTTGGATGATATTTTTGAATAAATAACAAAAATGCTTTACGTAGACTAGAATCAGTATATACCTCCCATCTCCATGGATTAAACTCAAAAGGGTTTTCATATATCGCATGATCATAATGAATCACTGAACTTGCAACCACCACCATCCAACCCGCTGGAATCGTATATCCTGTTATAAGTCGCCCCATCACCACCAAAAGAATGTTCCATTTGGCAAATATATTTGAGTATATGTTTGAGTAAGTGAGCGTATTATAATAGTAATACTTGCCTTTGATTTCGACATCGTTCAAAGCCTTTCTAAACATTACAGGAGCCACATTTGCCATTCGAAGAGTCTCCTTAATAACCTATATTAAAACAAATGTTGTTATTAAGCTTCCTCATATTATACTTTTTTTTTTATATACCCGATCGGCTGATCCGGCCAGCTTCGGTAGAAACACACTAAAGTGCTTTAAAGTGGACTTCTCCTCATATTATACTTGAAGTTTCTTAAAAGATAAATAAAAGTTACCATGTTGGTGAAAGTCATGCTGTGTTTGTATTCTTCCCAGGTAATTTCAGATTTTTCATCATCTCTGTTTTGAAGAATTGCCATATGTTCTCTCTAAAATATTACAAGAAAATCATGTCATCAAATCCATTATTCTTCTGTCTTCTTTAGATCAGTGAAAACTTGTTAGCTTTTGTATGGATATATATTAATTACCTTCAACTCTGATAAAACTTTAGGGTTTTTGGCAATGAAGTTTACGGCCAAAGAAACGACCGTAGAAATAGCATCTTTACCGGCAACCGGAAGAACAAAGATGTGGTCCATAATGGCTTTGTCATTAAAAAGGTTATCTTCTAGCATTGTGCTGAGGAAGTCTCCATGATTCTCTCCTGATTCTTTCCTTGATACAAAAACATCATTTATCACCTTCATAGCCGCTTTGCGTCCCTGGATGCAATGCAGTTGATAATATAGGAGAGATAATATATCTTTTCTATTGTACACTCCTAATCTAGTTTAATAAATGTAATATTTTACATTTGTTCAAAAAAATTTATAGATACATATTTAATATCTTATGTTAAAACATTTGATATATCCTAGGTGTTTTGACCATCCTCATTGGTCATAAATATGAAGGTGTCTTTAAAAATGAGAGGGTCTTTAATGTGTGAACAATAGAGATTAATGGGTATCTATGGAGAGACACAATATCTCTATTGTTCACACATTAAAGACACTCTCATTTTTAAAGAGACCCTCATTTTGATAACCAATGAGGATGGTCTAACGCTTCTTGAACAAGAATAAACAAATCTTAAATATATGTTGACTAGGTGTTTGAACTATTGATGGGTGTCAAAGTTATGATTATCTATAGTTTTAACATATCTAAAACTCTATTTCTCCTGTTATTTGGTTTCTAATTAAATTTCGTCACAAATTTTTAATTAATTGGTTTTACGTACCTATTAAAAATGGTTTTACTTTTTTTTTTTTTTATCATATATATGATTCTCCTATTTTTATTTGCATTGGATTACATTTTTACCCATATTTTTTTGTTCTAAAAAAAAAGAAGCAAAGTACTAACCGAAAAAGCTTTGTAGAAAGATCTCCAGGTAGAAAGACTAGTGAATGACTCAAACCAATCAAGATTGCATGCCTTAAAACTTTCTATAAGATTTGCTTGAGTCTCTGATCCAAGGTTACTTATCAACTTGGGGGTCAAGTGAGTTATTATCAACTACAAAAGTAACAGAAAAAAACTATTATTAACACATATAATTTGATCAACATCAAAAGAAGAAAGAAAAAGAAAAACAATTTATGTACATACGCTTGTAACGGCCTCCTTAACATCGAAGCTCCCCAGGCTAGCCTTTGATCTAAGTTCCTCGCGGGTCACTCTGTCCATGTCTCTTATCATGTTATGCTTCAATCCCTCAGAGCCAAGAAAATTTAAAGTGATTTGTTTCGCATGCTTGTGGGCGTCCCCATGTTCACTTAACATGTTATCTTTTCCAAAGATCTTGAGAAAATTATCCGGAAGGCTAAACACGAAAGACTTGTTCTCTTGCCGAAAAATCTCGTAGATCACATCAGGATCCGTCGCTACCACAGTATTGGTTCCGAAAATGTTGGTGCGAAACAGTGGCCCGTACCTAAAACAGTGGCAAACATATATATAGTTGCAAATAGACAAAGCTTCTTCTCATTAAAAAGTATTTTGAAAATCTGACCTTAACATCCTATTTTTGACAAAGGGTAAGATCTCGAGGAGTCCATGAGGTTTAAAGAAGTCGATTGTCTCTCCAATTATCGGAAACCCCATTGATCCTGGAGGTAACTTGCCATTGCACTTGGGGTTTGACCATCGGTACCACCATTTGGTTATCACTAGAACAACTAAAGCTGTGACACATATCGAAACGTTCCAAATGTAGCTCATTTTGATGTGCCTTTGAGTCACCCGTTCAGATCTTTAGCGGCTCTTATATAGAGGAAACGGAAAATAAATGATTAAAAATAAGTACAACTACAACAGTTTCCAGTTGCAGATCTAAAAAATAATTTTATTCGGAGCAAAATATTAAATAATAAAATATTAAATGATATTTCGTTGGAGGATATAAATAAATATGTATATTTTGGAAGGTAAAAAAGTTTATTTATTTTTGAAAATAAAGTATCTAAAAGTTACATTTAAAAGAAAGAAGATAATTAATTAAAGCTAGAACAAAAAAAGGAGAATCAAATGAATTTATAGCTAATAAAGAAAAAAAATCTACTACTAATAAAGGGATTTTAATGAGGCTTCTCTGAACTATCCACATCAGTATTTGTTAAAAGTTAAAACAGTCTCTCAAGATGCCACATAGGCAGGCGTTGTGAAGGCTAATTTCCAATTGCCAAGTATACGTGCAAAGCTTTCTTACTTCTCAAAACGTGGTTTCATAGAGGAAAATCAAAGCGTTTTCGAGTCACTGAAACGCCTCTCTTCTTTGTTTATGAATTCGTCTCCTCCATCTATCTGTGAGACCCGTTTAGGCCCTTAGAGGCACATCTTCCTAATTGAAAACCTAGCGATAGTACGTGTGTACTCAATCTCAACCTTAACAAAACCATAGAATTTTGATCTCAGGTTACCATCATCTACCATCGTTGAGAGATCAGAGTCATTGTTTTGGTTCGTGGTTGCGTTTTCGATCAACTATAAGCAGGGTTGGCGCAAAGATTCATGATGCCTAAAGCCCAACAAAATTTTATGCCCATTTACAACAACTAAACATAAAAAATGTTAAAATCTACAGTTGCAAGGGATCGAACCCACGACCGTCTACCTTTAGGCGTCCTAAATACCACTAGACTACAAGACGCTTTTGTAATTTTGATGCCCTTTAAAATACATATAAGATTTGCTGCCTAAAGCATGTGTTTGCTGGACTTTAGGTCTGGGCCGACCGTGACTATAAGTGGAGAAGTGTAGTTGATCGTCACGTACTCACTGTTCAATACCGGTTTCGATTAGGTAAAGCAAACCTAACATGGATATGAATATGATTTAATTCTACTGAAAGTGGCTTTTTTGGCTATTAAATACGTGGCCTATGTTTTGTTTTTTTTTTGTGAAGAAGAGGAAGAAGGAATCAGTGCCAAGTAGTGACTTTGGTAGTCAGTTTCTGGCAAGGGTGGGGGCACCATATGGGTAATGGGGTCAGCTGACCCCAACTGTGGATGTCGGATTCGCACACTTGAATATTTGTTTAATTAGTGGGAATGATTATTCTTGAGGACAAAAATATGATGAAAAAGCTATGAATTGAAATGGAAAATGATTATAGTGTATTTGCTAGAAAAATTGCGTCTCCTTCACATGGCTATCAGCCCTCTTATTTATATTGACAAACGACATTTAACTCTCAATTAAACACAATTATTCTCTCTTAAATGTGTCCGTTTTGGTCTTCGAGCTTTAATGCCCAACGTTTGAATTTGAATTGATTCCGATCTTCATGGGCTTCGCCTTTTGGCCCAAGTCATCCGACTTCGATTCCGTATCATATCCCGAGGTGTGACCACTCCGGGCTCTCTTTATGGTGACGCCCACTTCGATTATACCCTGTAAACCATGGGCCTAATGGGCCTTATCCTCTGTGGGCCTTTATCCTGACTACATGGCAATCTTTGGTTGGTCCCGGTCTACTGGTGCGGGATCCGACACCAACAATTAGCCCCCCAAGTCTTTCGAAGTGCTCATTCCAATTCGGAAGGCTTAATCGTCTTAAATGACCAAAGATTGCGCCCGTGGGATCTTCTGGTTTTCCCGCCAAGATTCTGTCAATCCTTTAATTTCGGTATTACCCATATTTGATCGCGTGACATCTGTCATCATCATGACCGTATCTTAATTATTTACTATTAAAACGGGGAAAAACCTTTCCACTTCCCCCACGACTACCGAGGCGGTTCCATCATTACCACTTAGTTTGCGTGAGGTAACCTTTCTTTTCATCTTTATCTTTTGGTAAAAATTTTCTTTGTTTTTCCCTGCCAAGTCTTTCTGTCTCTTTCGCCAAACTTTCTCTTCTGGAACTTGAGTTTTCCCATTTCCTTCGATGTCTTCCGATTCCGACAGACCCGAGTCTCCGTCTTATGACGGGAAACGTTCTAGCCTTGACGATTGCACTCGGCCTAACGATATCGCCGGTCCTCACTACAGATCTACTTGCACTATTCAATCCCTTCAACGATTGAAAGAACTCTGCCGACTTCCACCCGAAGTCATGGCAGGATCGAAGTTCGCCGAACCTATGGAATCCCCGGAGGACCATCGTGATGGTTATTTCTGTGTATACGAGATTTACTTCAAGGGTTGTGGGTTAACATTCCCTCTTCCTGAAGCTTTAGTCCGGTATTTAGCGGCTCTGGAAATTTCTCTTCCTCAGCTGACCCCCAATCTCCTTCGAACCATTCTCGGGATCATAACTGTTGCGGCGGAGGCTGGATATATTATCGGAGTCCCCGAGCTGAACGAACTTCTAAGCGTGAGGAGTTCATCAAAGAAAGCGGGGTATTTTTCGGCGTATCCGAACGCCAACAGGAACATCATCTCGCATCTCCCGAACAAGGATGAAAACTGGCACCATCCTTGGTTCCTGATTAAGAAAACTCCTGCTTCGGTCGGAAATCTCTCCGATGTACTTCCATCGAAGTGGTCTGCGAAGCCCGGTAGAAATTAGGTTACAGATAGTTCTTTTAATCACCCTGTTATTTTACTAATTAAATTCGTTGTTTCACTGTGCAGCCTTCATCGCTCCAACTCTCCCAACTGAAGAATTCGTCAGATTCTTCAAAATCCTCCTCGAAGGGGAAACCCTTTGGAATTCTTTCACTCTTGACCGATTCATAGAAGCCAATCGAAAACTCAGGATGAGCCCTCTTGGTCAACTTCAACGCCTTCCGCCTCCTCCCCCGTCTCAAGGTATGTCGGCTCGGGCCCTTGCCGCCCAACGCAAGAAGCTTTCTACTCCGATTACAAAGGCTTGTGATGAGAACAAGGCGTTGCTCGCGGCTGCCATTGACAGAAAAGATTACAGTCGGTCATTGTTAGTCGACGACGGTACCGCTGAAGGGGCCAGATCTACGGGTGCCTACAGGCTAACGCCTCATCGTGAGCGCCGTGGTGACCGTTCTCCTCGAAGAGCCCGGTCTCCTCGTCATGATTCCTCTCGACCTCCCCGAGATGACTTTAGCAGCGAACCGCTTAAAAATTTGATTCGCAAGAAGAGAGACAAATCATCTCGCAGTGACTCTTCTCCACAAAGAGAGAAGTCGAGGGCCCGGACTGAGCATTCTCCTCGTTCGTCCCCTCCTACTGAGCCGATGGGTCCTCCTCCTCCAGTTGACATGTCTTCCCATCATAGTGGTGAGAAGACTGCTCGGAGCATATCTCCTCAGAAAGAAAGTTCTGAATCTCAGGATGCTCCCCCGAAGTCAAAACCTGCACTTGTCCCACAGATCAAATCGCTTACAGGTAATGGTTTAGGCAACCTTAAGGGTTTTCAATTCATCCTGACTCAAAATATTACAACTTCCCTTCTTCTTCCTTCGCAGTTATGGAGAAAGAAGGTAGCGTCTTTCGGTGCTTTAAGACCCGGTCGGGTCTAATTCTGCCGGAATTCGACAAGTGGCGTCCTGCAATTCGCGAACGCTATTTGCTTCACGCGCATCACTCATCTCGGGTTAGTTTTACTTCATTCATCCTTTGTGTTATCCTTCCAACTGACTCATAATTTCAAGTTTATACAAAATGCCAGGCGAATAGCGAACTCAACGACATGGTTGAACACTATGAGGGACTGTTACTTAGCCAGCAACAGGAAATTGAGTCGTGGAGAAGCAAGTTTACTACCCTTGAGACCGACCTTCACTCATCTTCGGGCTCTAAGCAACAGCTAGAAGATCAAGTAGGCAGCCTCACATCTGAGCTTGAGAAGATAAAGGGGGATCTGAAGGATCAGTACGACCAGTACTACCAATTACAAAACGAGCTTTCTGGTGTTCAGGGTAGACTTCATGAATCCGAATCATCTGCCGATACCCTAAATAACCAACTTATTGAACTTCACGCGAAGTACAACGCGATTACCAAATTGCGTGATTCCGAGTTGGCAAGGTCGGCTTCGAAGGCCAGAAAGGAGGTAAAGGGACGAGGGATGGAGTTGATTCAAGGGGCCATCCGTTTTATTCAAACTGAGAAGGTTAAGTCGGATCTGGAGTCAGACATCAAGGAGCACGAGAGCAACCTAATCTTGCTGGACCAAATCCACGAAGACGATTTCTCCGAAGTGAAAGAGAGATCCGAGCTGTCATCTAACTTATCCGAAAAGAAAAGTCGCCTGGCAGCTCTTCCCGCTTCGTCCTTCAACCCTCAGGATTTCGCGGAGTTTTTCACTGAATCTCCTCCCCTAAGTGAATCAGGGTTAGACTGGGCAGGTAATCGCTTGTTCTTGATGCTTACTTCCCTCTTCTTACCTTCTGTTTGACCCGAACTGTCTCTTATAGGTTCAAGTGAGACGGAGGGCGTCGTCTCATCCGAAGTCCCTGCTGCACCGAAGGTCATCCCAGGAGATGTTTGTACCGCAGTGAATGAACAAGGAACTTCCTCTGAACAAGTCCTGGCCAAGGAGGCGGATGGAAGCCCAACAACCGAAATGGAGGCCGAAGTGTCTGTTGACCCGTAGTGGCTGCGTCCACTCCGAATTGGGGCATGTCCCATTATTATATATATTTTTTGAGACTTAAATCTTTATGTTTTTGTTTTTGCCCTAGGAGGCTTTATTATCAGTCTCTTTTGAACCAGATATTTGCCTGAGGAGGCTTTTAAACCTTTTTAAAGGTTATGATCCCGAGGGGGTTTTTGGTTAAAAATTATATGCGGGTTTGCAAAGTCCGCTTTTTAACATTT